TACATGCATTTGTTTGTCCAGTTACCATTTTTTTATGCAGCATAGCCGAGACTGGGCAGTGTGTTCTGTTCTGCTGAAATGAAAAAAGAACTTTGAGATCTTATCTTTCTCCTTAAATTTGGTGTTTGTGATTTGCAGATACTGAAAATAGGTGTGCTAATAGTTTTCTAAACCACATTTTGATTTTTACCCGTACCCTTAAAAATAAGAGTGCCAAAAGCAATGCCATAGAAGAACCATTTTGGGTTTCCCAAGGAACCTTTCAACAAACAGTTCTTTAAAAAAAACTATTTTCTTTGTTTTAAGAACATTTTAATAATCTAAAGAACCTTTTCCACTACAAATAACCTTTTGTGGAATGGAAAGGTTCCATGACTGTTAAAGGTTCTTCATGGAACCATAGATGCCAATAAAGAACCTTTATTTTAATTATGTGTAGTGTTTATTGTTTCTTTCATTCTTTTTTCTTTTTTTTTTTTTTGAGTGGAAGTTTGTTCATAAGCTGCATGTGCAGTTGTTGAACTCAATAAAGACGTTCTTCATCTCTGGCAGGTTTGATTTCAGTTGATTTTAGGTAGAGATCCACTTCATCTAGTGCTCCTATTATTATTTTAAAGACTGAGAAACCACTCCAAACGATTCAGTGCATGAGTGAACAGTCTGAATCAGCATATTCAAACCATTTCGCTGACATATTTTGACTAATTAATTGACACAAAATGATGCAGAAGAGTGATTTATTCATGCATTGAACATTGCTCGTTCTGATTATAAGCAAACAACAGAAAACATGAGAGAAAAATGGATTGCTAAAATACATAATACAGTGTAAAGAAGTATTTTTTGAAGTTGTAAATAATGATTTGTGGAGTATGTTTTACAAGAAAATACTATTTTAGTTTTCCTACTTAAAAAGTACGTTTAATTAATTTTTTCTTTCTTTCTTTCTTTGCTACTGAAATTGAAAGTTATTTGCTGTGTGTCATAGCTTTGCCCTCTGGAGGTCACATTTGTCATTTACTTAAGTGATTGACGATGTCTCATTTTAGAATAGTAACCATAAAACTTGTTATTCCTTTTGAGGCGTAAATTACTGTAATTTCATTCAAGAATGCTGTTGTCAGTCATCATGAGTCTGTGCCGTGAACGTAACATACTTTTGAAAAACCAGCAGTTAGTTGATCCAGCAGTCATGTAAAGTATTCGAGTCAATGTAATTAAAGGTGTACTTAAAGGTGCACTAAGCGAATTTTGCCAAACAATGTGAGATGGTTCTCACTGCAGAACACAAGATCCAGGGGGCGTGGTTGGATCCAGATCCAACTCCTCACACTTTACATAAACCTAAACCTACCCGCCTCCACCCCCGATCCCTAAACCCACCCATCTCCACCCCTAAACCTACCAATCTCCACCCCCTAGATGTGGATAAAACCACGCCCCCTGGATCTTGTGTTCTGCAGTGAGGGGCTACTGAACAATGTTGATATTTGAAAGCACCAAAACAAACACGCCCATACCACAACAGGACCTCGACCCTTATTTGATAACTCCGCCCCACACATACGTATGCAACTGCAGCGACGGTGGCAGAATCTGCTATGCGCAGCATATTCAAGCAAAAGCCAACACAGATTAGTTGTGTGAAACAAAGCAAAATCAATGTAACTCACCTATCAAGAAGAAACAAAGCAACCTCTGCGTCTGATTCCAGGCCTTCCCGATCCTTTAGTTCTCTCCACCGCTGGAAAGCTGCTTTAATATTTACGCGGGTCCTACCTCTTGCCTGATCGTAACCCTTCTTTTTAATGTTTAGTTCCTCCGAAATGTTCCTCTTTTTTTTATCTGCCATCCCTCGCTATCTATAGTCGATCCGACTAGACACGCCTCTTACTGCTGATTGGCAGCGAGTGTGTTTTGGGACTCTGTCCGACACTGTGATCAAAATCTCACTTTTTCTGCTGCAGTTTATTTCTGCTACAACAGAAGTGATATCGACATCTACAGGGCATTGAAGGTACTACATCTTAAGCGTTTTGCCCTTACTCACCCAAACTTGTCAACACGGTTACTTTACTCGAATGTGAGTGCATTAGTAGGTAGTTGTGAATCTCATGTGTTTGATAAATTAAATGAGGACATGGCTGAGAACTTTTTGAAGGGCATTAGTTTACTTATGCCCTTTTTGAGTACTTGAGCTTAACTGAGACTTAGTGTTTCAGTGTTAGACGTTTAAGAGGCTGTGTCAACGTTGATTTATTGCAATATTGAGGTGTTCAGAAAAGAAACGTGATTGCTGTCCTCACAGATCACCTGTTTCTTGTTTTTCATTGGCATGTATCTTAGGTGTTGAGGACTAGTGCATGTTTGAGCCTGAATTCTGTATGAATAAAATAATTACTGTAAGTACTGTTCAAATCAGATACTCTAAGACTTTTAATCAAGTCCAATATTGGAATTGGTGACTTGTAACTTGTAATGGAGTAATTTTTACTGTAAGGTATCTATACTTTTACTCAAGTACAGTTTTCAGGTACTCTTTACACCTCTGCTGTTAAGCGATCATTGTCACAGTTATAAACATAACGGCTTTCTTCTTCCATGAGGGGGTTTGGTGTCACAACGGCCCATTAAAGACCTGTATGAATTTCTTTCAGCTGTTGAACACACAGAAAAAGATATTTCGAACAGTTGACGGTAGACATTGACTTCCATAGTGTATAATGATTCAGAATGTCATAACTGAATCTTCCAGTGAAAATGACAAGCTTCTCTCTGGTGACATGTGCAGGACTTCTCCAATCATTTAGTCCGCTAAATCTCCACATACTGCAAGATTGCATTCATCTGCCTCCACTTTTGAGTGCCACGCCCACATCTCAACATCCAATCAACAATCGAGGCACAGAACCAAGTCCGCGCACTACATTTTTTTTCTTTTCTGTTAATCCATTACACTTGGATGTACGTCACAGTAGACAGAAGAAAAGATCTTAAGTTACTTCCGTTTGGTGGCAACTTTAAGCTTGTGTCAGGCATTTTGCTTGTCAATGTTTGTCTCAAGATCCTGCCTCCCAAATGGACAAATGCTCTTTCAGAACAGAGTTTTGGCACAGCTATCTTGAGGATTAGTTTCTCCCTGCTCTTTGCTGACTTGCATAGCAGTTTTTTCCCCCTGGCAGCTTTATTTTCACCAAGGCGTCTCTGAGTTCACCCACGCCACTCACTGTAACACTGTCATTTTCCAGAGGCTGCTTGAATTATAGATGAGCATATTTACTGACTGGTAATATTATGGCTGAGACAGAGAGAGAAGCAGGGGGAGATTTACTTATTCCTCAGGCTTAGGAAACGTGGAAGATGGGTCTCTGGAGCTCATAAACGAGAGAGGGGAAATGTGGCCTTGAATTCTGTGGACAAACATCTGCAGCTCATTTGCAGCAAGGAATGACAGGAATGTTGATGCAGCTTCTCACCTGTGATCATTGTGTTTTCGCTTCGTTCCCTGATACATTTATGTGGTGTGGATCTCCCCTCGCCATCTGCTTTCTTCTAAATTTGCAAGTATGTTGCACATGTTGCGATGATGTAACGTGACAGTGCCAAAATGCCTTTATTGCTATTCTGCCATGGCAGAGGAATACAGTGCCATTATTGTTTATTTTATGTCATAGTTTTCTATCTTTTTGATCTTGTTTTCTAGTAAAAAATTAGTCTAAGAGCACAATGTCTTAAAGGTGACATATCATGAAAATCTGACTTTTCCAGGTTTTAAGTGTTATAATCAGGTCCCCGGTGCATCTACCAACCAAGGAAACGTGAAAAAGATTAACCCAGTAACTTTGTTTTGGGAAGCCTTTTTCTGCAAGCGTCTGAGGGATCTCATTATAATATTACCGCCCCTTAATCTGTAAGTTTACACCCATGGTGCCGTCATTTTGATTTCGCAAGCGACAACGGTGTAATGCCATGGCATAAGTTTGAGCAAAACATGCTTACTGTTCTGCCTTTGGCTGCACAGATGAGCACAGAACACTATTCACAGTCCCAGCCTCAGAGGAGACAAGAGAGCATTGGATTTATTAATTTATTTAATGTATATTGCTGCTGCCACACAAATAAACATGCGGCTTATTTCCCAGCTGTTTACCTTCACAGACATAACCGACTGTTTTTGTAACTCGTGTGTTTTTAACGTAAACTTGTGTGTGAATGAGAACTTAGTTTAGTGCTCACATGCTGTGTGGTTCAAAGGGATCCGGGGTTGAGTCTGTTTTGCATCTTTCTCCATTGAGGGCCATTTCAAAACACAATGAATCAGACTTTTAAAAGTATCTGTGCATTCTGGGATGAATGAATGAATGAATGAATGAATGAATGAATATATATATATATATATATATATATATTCATTCAATAATTACTTCATTTTTGTAATAGAAAATATAAGCAGTGAGGCAGTTTTGACAATTTTTATTATTTTTTTTTACAATTTTTACAATTTTGTACTCAAAGTCATGTGATGTGACCAAAAATGTCTTGTGGTGCAACCAATTTACACGGGGAGAAAGAATAAATAAATACATGCATACATACATACATAAATCCATAGTTCAGGTTTTAAAACCCTCCAAAAACATAATGATATTTAATTGCTATTCTGTTGACATTTAATTAATAATTGACATTATTTGTAAAATAAATAAATTAATAAAATAAATAACAACAACAACAACAATAATACTTTTAACCTTAAAAAAATTAAAAAGGAAAGTAGATTTACATTTAAATAATGTGTACACTCACATGTATTCAATGTTTAAGGAAAATATTTCAGTGCTTTTTTACTTGATGTTTATCAGAGTCATTACATTTACAACATTTCTAGTTTTTCAAGTTTTTCAAAACCAACATGCATACTAAGTGAACCTATTTAGAAAGTTTTTTTTCTCTCTCTCAGTGTAAATGACGTAAGAATCTTCTCTGTGTCTCTTTTCCAGAGCCGAGTAAACCCTGTCAACGTGACTCCTCCCATTCAAGCTGTGGATCAAGACAGAAACATCCAGCCTCCGTCAGACCGCCCAGGAATCCTGTACTCGATTCTCATCGGTAAGTCTTTGTAAGCTCTCTGTACTCTATATTGAGTCGCTACTGGCATACAAGTCCTCACTGTGTAGGAAACAGTGGTATTCCAGGAGAGGCAGAGTGGAGCAGCGGGTCGGAAATACAGCAGGAGTTAAATGCATTTATACCACGGGCAAGGTGCGCCCACCCACTGTGCTTTGAGATGAAACCTGGAAGCGGAGCAGCAGGCTCAGGGAACCATGCCGCTCGCGACCTGAGCCGAGGAACTAAAGTGCACCGCCGAATGGTTAGACCTCCAGTCAGGGATATGTCAAAACATATTGTAGGCCACAGACGTGCGGCTCAATATGACAGCAGCCTCATGCTTTTAACTATCAACAAAGCACTTGTGTGCCACTATTTATAGAGGAAGTGCATTAGTGGTTTTATTTTGCCGTTCTGTTTGAAGTATGGCTATGAAAATGAATACACTACTCACTGTATGCCTCAAAATCATGGTGCCCTGGTGAGTTATTGTTCGATGCTGAACTTTTGAATACAAGTCCTTTATCTTATGCGTCCCTTCATTTCTTCCTCAACCTTCTGTTTTTGTAGGGAAACCTGCATCATATGCAGAGTATTTCTCCTTAAATCGGACCACAGCTGAGCTCCAGCTCCTGAAGCCCATCAGCAGGGAGCAGTACCAGCATTTTGACTTGGTAATCAAGGTAATAATGACAACATCAACAATAAAACTAATATATATGAATGAATGAATGAATGAATGCCTGAATGCCTGGAAAATCACTGAAATTAAACATCAAACATAAGGAAATTAAAACAAAAAAAAACGACTTGGTAATCAAGGTAATAATGACAACATCAACAATAAAACTAATATATATGAATGAATGAATGCCTGAATGCCTGGAAAATCACTGAAATTAAACATCAAACATAAGGAAATTAAAACAAAAAAAAAGTTATAATTGTTGATAAATACATAAATGCATACATCTATGATTGTCAAGAGAATCAGCTAAATTAAATGTCAAACATCAAGAAATTAAAAAAAAGTCTCATGATTTTAGATAATATATGCATGCATGCATGCATAGATGAACAAATGCCTGGATAATGAGTAACAATTAAAAATCCATAAAATTAAATGTCAAACATCAGGAAATTATACATACATACATTGAATAAAATAAATAAAACAAACATATTAATGAATTTTCTTTAAAATGCAAATTAAATATCAAACATCAGAAGATAAAAAAATCTCATTATTTTGGAAATGAATGAATGAATGAAACGCAGTAAAATGAAATGCCAAACAACAGTAAATTTAAAAAAAAATCATATTATTATTATTATTATTATTATTATTATTATTATTATACATACATACATAAGTAAATAACTTAATAAAAAAG